ACGTTTCCAACAGCCTATTACCACACGCAAATAAACACGCTAAACGGTAGTGAATCAACGTCTGGTTCTAATATTTTATAGTCATTTATGAAACTGAAACTTTTGTAAAGTCAGACAATTAAATAAAATTATAATATATCCATTATATTTCGTGGTCCGATTGACTAAATAACTTTTTACAATTAATGAATCTTTATGTAAGGTAGTGGTCGAGATAAAATGTCCGTCTCAGTCCATAACATATTAATCTTACTGTATGTACTATACTTATTTGACAACATCAATAGAAAAAGCAGCTACTTCCAAAAATGTGATTCTCAATTGTATTAGACATATTTGACTTTTTCGTTTTCCATTAAACTATAACAACTTAGTCCATAATCCATTAGAGTTCGTGGTTCGATTGACCAAATAACTTTTTTTAATTAATTAATCTTTATGTAAGGTATTGGTCAAGATAAAATGTCCGTCTCAGCTAATAAAATATTTATCTTACTGTATGTACAATACTTATCTGACTACATCAATAGAAAAAGCAATAAAATTCCTATGAGATTGATTTTTTTTTATTTTGTGATTTTAAACAAACCATATATAAAATCAGTTAGAAGAAAGCATTGTACAAGTTTCTAAAATTCTTCGCGTAGGGAAGAGTTGCCACTACTGATAAACTTTAAGTACATGTACTTATTTTCTTAATGTTCACTTTTCACTAATGTAAATTTAATGTTTAATTGCTATTAGAAATTTTATGGTCTTATTTAATATTTTTCAACCATTAACCGAAAAATTAAGTCCAACTGCAAACTCTTATTCTCAATTGTATTCGAGAAATTTTTCTCTTTCGTGTTCTTACTTTATTTAAGTGAATAAATTGATCAATTGTTGAGTATATAATAAATATATTTATTGTTGTTATTATATGTATATTTACAATTAATTCATCTTTATGTAAGGTTTTAGTTGAGATAAAACAAAAGTCATGTATTCGAGAAATTTTTCTCTTTCGTGTTCTTACTTTATTTAAGTGAATAAATTGATCAATTGTTGAGTATATAATAAATATATTTATTGTTGTTATTATATGTATATTTACAATTAATTCATCTTTATGTAAGGTTTTAGTTGAGATAAAACAAAAGTCAGTGTCTCAAGCGGGATTCGAACCCACGACCTTCGGCTAAAAACACCGTTGCTCAACCACTTGAGCTATGGTGACTTCGATCCACTCGGACACCAACTTCCCATCTCAACCCAACCTTTCGAATTTTCCCTCCTTTTTGCCATTTCTCAAAATAAGTAAAGTTGGGTTGTTGAGGTGGGAAGTTAGTGTCCGAGTGGATTGAAGTCACGATAGCTCAAGTGGTAGAGCAGCGGCGTATTTAGCCGAAGGTCGTCCGTTCGAATCCCGCTCGTTGTACTAACTTTTTCCATGTATAATATAGTTTTATTGGTGTTTGAGAATTAGGCCGCTATTTATCATTTTTAAGCTCACATATGTTAGCAATGATTAAATTACATAACGTCTGTCATCGAACAACGTAAACCTTGTTTTGTTGAATTTGAATATTTGAATCAGAACCAAGTGAAGTTTCATTTAGTCCTTTCTCTTTTTCTAATCATGAGGTTATCCTCTTCTCCTGCAGGTTTTCAATACAGAAAAGCGTTTTGTTTCAATAATCATATCAATCTATCTGATAGTTATACAAGAGAATTTTTTACTTTTAAGAAAGTGTTCTTAACAAAATATGTACAACATACAGGCTGTCCTATGAATAAAATTCAAAAGGTTATCGTTCATATCAATTTGGACGAAAAATCCCTACTTCCAAAAATGTGATTCAATTGTATTTTTTCTTGTATATTTTTTTCGTGTTGCTTTAAACTATAACACCTTTTTCCATAAAGTCCGTCTCAGCTCATAAAATATTAATCTTAATGTATGTTTTGTACTTATCTGACAGCATCAGTAGAAAATGCATTAAAATTCTTAGATTGATTTGTTTTTTTTATACCATACAATACCATATTTTTATACCATACATACGTAACGAACAAAATCTATCATGAGTTAGAAGATAACATTATACAAGTTTCCAAAGTTCTTGTTTAAAGTTTAAGTAAGATTTTTTGGGTTTTATAAATATTGACACAATAGCGCTTGGAGAATAGTTGCCTCTACTGATAAACTTTAAGTACATGTACTTAATTTCTTAATGTTCACTTTTCACCTGTGTAAATTTAATGTTTAGTAGAATTTCATTATCTTATTGAATATTATTTCAACCATTAACCGAAAAATTAAGTCCTTGTGCAAACTCAGATTTTCAACTGTATGAGATGCTTTTCTTTTTCGTGTTCGTTACTTTATTTGCTTAAATGAATAAATTGTTCAATGTTGAGTATATAATAAATATTTACCTTCTTTAGTACGTAAATAAATATATTTAAAAAGCCTAATAGATTGATAAGGTTTTTGTTTAATTGGATAATTAATAGAATTCCAAGAAAATATAATTGTTTGCTTATAACGAAAAGCAGTACAAGGTAAATCAAGGTAACTATTTCTTTGAAAATTGATAGCTGTAATTTCCCAATCTTCTGTCCTGACCGCCACAAACTGGGACACTGATGCTAATGGCAAAATAAAAATTAGGATAGAATAGAAGACTGTACAGCCGTTGAACCGAATCGGCCGTTAAAACTTTGCTAAAAGTTATGAGGATATTGATCATCATGATTTGACTGTGAATTAACCATACGAGCGTGACACCCGACACTATTGGGTCCAAAAATTGGGAGAAAAATCTATTTATATGTCCAACATAATAATTGGGGTTCATGCCATGGCCACTTTTAGAGAGCAAGTGGGCAATTGACAACTTGCAATATTCGTCACGTATGGTTTGGAAATAGGACTTTTGAAACAGTTTACCTCAGAAAACCTTATTCCATTGAAGAACTATACAAAAAACATCCTTTTTCTATTTTTCCTATGTGTTCTTTTTAACGTATTATTAGGTAATAACATTAAAATTTCCCTCTTTTTTTGCAAACAATTTACTGGTTTTTGTTTAATAAAAAAATAAAATACCAAATGGTATTGTTTTTTAAACAAAATCCCAATAACGTTATGTAAAAATAAAAGAGAAAATGTATTTAAAATACATGAAAATGTTAAAAAATATAAATATAAAAAAGACGTCTTTTAAAAATCCATGTTACAGAATGAAAATTATCATCGGTTTTTTTATTTTTTTTATTTATACGAAATTTGTTCATGCATCTAGAAATGCAACAAACAAATGATATATATTAAGTTAATTAAAAACATTTAAGATCAGTAAAAAAAAATCCAGACATTTTTATATATGCGTATTTTGATACACGCATATTCAAATATATATAATTTAAAAAAAAAAAATAAAGTAGCATGAAGGCTGGAAAAGTAATACCGCCCAATGCCGACCTAACTTAGTTGTTATTAAGTAGGTCCTTTGGCCATTGTCTATTTAAACGGCGGGTTGATCCGGCGGGATTTTGTAGGGAGCATGTTTGTTGGACAAATTGGTTAGTGTGTATACTTATGGAGTTATGGAATTTTGTGTAACAGGAAAGGGATGGTTAGAGATAGTTGGGTACCAGATCCTGTCTAATTGTATATTTTGAATATAAAAACCCTCCCCGTGCATAACCATCTGTACTGCGGGGCAGCGTATTTTCGTTCCAGGTTCAAGCCCAGCTGCTTGGATAAGGACTCGTAGTGTCTGTGACCCCTGACGAGTACCAGGCCAGAGAGAAGAGGCTGTGTTTCATGTTCGGTCGTGGACCGTAGTACTTGCGGATCGGATTGCCGACAGCATATAGACAGCGAGAAGTTATGACTACGCTGCCGCCGTTCCTCGAATGTGGGAGGAATGTTGGACGGGGGCGAGTGCGTGCTTGTCGGTGGCGGCCATCAGAGTTGCCTTTACCGTAGGCATGGTCTCTTCTAAGGGGTGGTTAGAGATTTCACTAAAATCGAAACCGCGGCCGGATCGGATCCGATTGGATCGAAATTCCGTTGGAAGTTTCAACGCTAGCGTAGCCCCTGCATCCAGGGAGGTAGAGTTGTCGTCTCTATCTACGGAATGCGTGGGAGACTTGGCCGATGCATTTCGACCACTTTTTGTGTACCCCTTTACGCGCGGCATCGTTAAGTGCACAACGTTAACCCACCCCCTCGGAAAGGGCAAGCGGGAGAAGTCGACATGTCGGCAGTTTGCTGCAGGGTGATGTGGGCTTCTACACCGAACCTCAAGGAAGCAGCAGATTTTCCGTGCGCGGAGGTGAATCGCTCCTAACGTGAGAATCTAAACGTGTGATAAGGCCTATTCGGCCAGGTACCCACGCTAAAGAATCTGAATATTTTATGATATTGCGACCCCAGTGGAAAACGAATGAATGTAACAGGGAACAGTTAGTTCTTTGAAAACAGGAATTTGGAGGTCGGTTTGTAGGGTACGTTTCGACACGACCATTTTCTGCAGTCACTGAATTATGTTGCAATTGGACCGTTTGGTTGAGCCCCACAGCTCTATTCCGTAGGGCCAGATGGATCGGAGTACTGTCTTGTATAATAACAGTTTGTTCGCTAGTGAAACTTTTGATCTATTTTTTAGTATGTATAAGAAAATTATATAGTTTGTTAAGTTCCTTTCTTTTCAGTTTAGTGAGTTTAGTGACGTCAGTCTTTTGTCGAGAAACAAGCCTAGATATTTAACTATGCCCGCAGACAGTATATAGGTATGTTGGTAAAGTTGATTGTTAGAAATGTCGCACATCGGATGGTAAAGGTTAAGATTTTTTAAAAGTAAAGGTGTAAAGTTTAGGGTTAAGGTTTAGGGGTTTTTAATTTAAGATTCGTAAAATGACAAAAATTTTAAGCACATACGCAAACAAAAATAAATGTAATTACTCCATATCTAATTGTAATTAATTATGTTTTTATTTTTGTTTAGGCCACGAGGACCAACTGGAAAGAAAAGCCGTCGAGGAAGAATCTCGAAAGGTTTTTCAGCACTTACAGAAACGGTGCTTTAAAAATTTCAGGTGATTTTTTATATCAACTAATAAATCTTAATTAAGATCTATAGAAAAAAATGCTAATCGGCATTCCCAAGTTTCTTTGATCCAGTTAGTTCTAATAAGCTTTAATTATTGGCCGTCCGATATCACAGACTTGCGACCCATTAAACAAATTACTAGACAAATGGCATAACAGGTTTTCGTTGTAACATTTAGGTTAAATTTTACTTTCTTGTTAATTCCGAAAATGGAAGCTATTATTAATTGGTACGTAATTCTAGGTTTGTGGCTGTTTTTAAAATTTAAAATTAGCCTACTAAAAGTTCAGTAGAGAGCGGTAAATCATACGAGAGCTTTGATTTATAACCTGATAATCTCTCCTTTTTTACGAATGGGTGTAGTACAAGGTTTTCAACGTCTACCGAGATATGCTTCTTTATTTGTTCCGTTACCGGCGTAAAATAAAAATAAGACACAATCCCTCGTCCTGTGCACCGATATCAACCGCGATAAAAGCCTCATTAGTCCGATACGTTAGAAACCGGGGAGGAAATTTATTGTTTCACCTTCCGCTTTGCATGAGATAAGCTTCTAAGGTACGAAAACAAAGAAAATTTGTCGGACTTTATACTGCTTTGCAATAGCTCTGTGGGCTTCGTTGGTTGAATCTGTCATTCGTCTAGGTCAATATTGATGTAGATGAACTTTTCTGTAAAGTTTTTCTGTTTTCTGCGTTCATGTGATTTTGTTTTCGCAGGAAAATCAATTTTCTCTGGAATAAAAAAACATCTCTTCTTACTAATAATTCACTCTTCCAACTTTTTATATATATATAAATATAAAGTAATACCAATAACTACTGCATTTACAAATACCCAAGTAGAAAATACTTTCCTATCTACTTTGGAAATTACCTCCCTAATTACATCCAATATATTTAGAAACCTTCTTCAAAAAGTTTTAGTATTTTTAACAGCAACATATTATGCGATCCACTTTCCTCTATTATGGAAGTATTTCGTCGTCCTTCTCATTCCTAAAGCTCACATATCTCCCAAATAAACATAAATTCATTAGCCCTTTTTCTGTCCAGTCATAATCCTTGAAAAACTTTTTTTAAACTTAATGCCCATCAGAGCATCACATGGGGTGGGTTGATAGCTGTAATTCCTAATCTTCTGACCTGTCCCCTACAAACTCGGACGCTGATGCTAATGGTAAAATAAAAATTACGATAGTAAAGAAGACTGTACAGCCGTTGAACCGAATTAGCCGATAAAACTTTAATTAAAGTGACTCTGAATTGCCCCCCCTTCAGATGGCTCCCAAACAAACGAAGGAACCGTATCTGGTGTTTTCTGTACAAGCCCAAAATTCAATCAATATCATTCAATCAATATACTCCAGTCTTTCAACTAGAAATACTTGTCATCAATGCTTGTGCCTTAGAAAATCATAAAAGAGGATACATAGGCAAAAAATCCTCATAAGATCAGATAGCCAAACTCCTTTAAAGCATCAGCGTGTTAAAAAAATCACATCAAAATTAGTCAGCGAATGCATCCAAAATCTCCAAAACCTGGGGAAACAACAATTTGATATCTTGGGTTCCAGGACATAAAGTAATTTCAGGTAACAAAAACTGGCAAGAGGAGGATCTGCAAGACCATACCTAGGCCCCGAACATATACTTGGGATTATAAAAACAATTACATAAGCCTTCCTTCACAGAATGGATCCAAATAAAACAAAAGGAGAAGTGGATAAACTCTAGGGGCGATAGACACAGTAAACGTATGCTAAAACTACCTTTACCAAGACTGGCAACATACTGCTGCAGTGGGAGAGGGCCTGACTCAGAGAAGTGATAAACTATTAACCGGTCACTGACATCTGAGAAAGCATCTACATAACACGGGCATATATAACGATGATCTCATTTGCAGATTGTGTAAAGAGGAAGAAGAAACAGCCATCCATCATTTTCGAATGCAAAGCAATGACCTAATAGAAACGTAACCTAGCATATACAAAAACCTAGGGAATGAAATTGTAGCAGCAACCGTCAGTAACCTAATACTTCTGAGTAGAAGGATTGAGTCGATTGCACTGAACTAGAAGGCTGCAGAGCCTGGGGAGCATAAACTCATCACCATCACCCTTATACTTCCCAATACCTCAATTTTATCTTCCACCCCAAATCACATCCATCCAACCTCCTATACACGCCTTGAGTTTATCAAAGATTGGGCAAAAAGTTGAAGTTAAGATTGTATGGTGTATATGCATTTACATTGAAAAAACGATCTTATCTTCTATGGTACATCAGACGAAGTACAGACATCCGGAATACCGAAAGTTAACCATCGTTAAATGGTAACCACTTCATTTTCATCTCCCTTTCAAACCTTCCCAAGTAAAACATTTCTTGAGCATGATCGAATTACCTCCACACTTCGGAATCCAATGCAAAATCTTTTTTTAATCACAGTAATCAATGCCATCCTACGAACCACTAATTTTTTTCATAAAGATTTTTCCGACATTATTCGAATTTCTAAAGCTTATTCCGGCCAACTAGATATCTCTCCCCCGACCAAATAGCCTTTTTCTTGTGATCTTCAAAATTCCCTCAATATTCCTTTTAAAATCATGTTACCATAATTCCAACATGCCCCGCGTCCTACAAGGAAGTATTTTTGGTCCCATTCTTTATACCATATATACTGCTGATTTTCCTATACATCATTGCGGATCATAGGGCCATTTTTTTCTCTCCCAAACCATATCCAAGTAACCTCAAACATCCAAGAAACCATTACCAAAGCCGTTTTTTACCCCCAAAGCCTCTGAACCCATTGGCAAGAACCCTCTGAGATGTGTCTATATGTTTTACTAGTATGACCAAAATTGATTTAATTTTTTGAATCGGAGATCTCACGTCTGACTTTTTAATAGAAATTTAAAACAATTGTGTATCGTTACAATAATGAAATAATTTTACATCCTAAAATGATACATGTATAAGCAGATCAAATATTTTTTCAATAAAAATTAATGGTTAATTACTCAATAAAAATGGCATAATAATCAATTTGTATATTTTAAGAAAATGTGTTTTGTACCAATTAATAATAATGATTTTAGCAGCTGAAAAATTACAATCTACCACCGTATTGTTCCCATAGTGTTTTAAAAAATCATCAGTTACGTTTAACAATAATTATACAACTAAGGAAATAAAATGGGCATTCAAATTAATGTTTAAAGATAGTAAAACTTTTAGACCTTTATAACCCATTTTTCTCATTGTATCGTACATAATATCCGACAAATGGCGTACTTAAAGTTTGTTTATGAACTGAACTTCTATCTACTGGTAACAAATTGTAATAATGGTAACATAAAAATAAACAAAAACAGAAACAGGATATCTTAACAATTTGTACGGTACGGGACAGTAAATATTCCGACAACGTAGGATTATGTCCCTGGGACGTGGGAATTTTAACAGATGTTACTCAAATTGCTTATTGCTCAGCAATTTTTCAAGCTCCCCAAAAAGCTCACTTTTATTTACAGTTGTGTAACAAAAATAAAACTTGAAAATTCATTTGCTGCGGTTAGACGTTTGTGTTAATTTAGTTTTTAAACCCGGCTAGGATTTAATGGAAAAAATGTAAATAACATTATTGTTTTCAGTTCACATTCATACAAAGTGAAATACTACTAATATTTGTAAGAATATTTATGGTTTCTATTTATTGAACTTTTTATTACGAAGAAAACCGTCTTATTATGGTTGTAGTGACAGACCATTAAAGGTGCTGGCATTTACCGCCCTAAATCGAATGTCAGCATCCCTCTTTGCAGTAGCGCTAGGCAAAATTATTGGCAATAAATATTTTGTGTAGGTTAACGATTGGACGGTATCGGTGAACGTAATATATATTTTTCCGCAGTACATTCATTCACAAATAAGAAATAAAATTTCAGTGGTTAAACTAGAATGTTTGTATTAGATCCGTTGTAACTTTTTCACATGTAGACGGGGTCAAAAAGATAAATATTCTGACATCTACGATAAAGTTATACGTTATGAAAGTTGTTTATGTTTTACGATAAAACTTTGGTTGGTGGTGATGTCATTACTCAAATACAACATTAAGCTAATTGATTATTCTGGTTTTGGATGGTCGAGGAATCGTATGAAGCACACAGGGTAAAATGTCCATTTACATTGAACTCAACCGTGTTTGGGGAAGGTATCGATCATGTTTGACATCAATCTTAAAAGTGAAGATGAAGTGCTCTGACTTATCTAACATCTCTTAACGATATTTTAGTTATAATGTTTTCCATTTATTAAAAAACATGGATACACTTTCACCGTCGTTCTTGTAAAACAGATTTATTTGAATAAGCAGGAATTTATAAATTTTCTTTCTTAGTATTTTCGACTAAATTCGTTTTGACATAGTTACAATATTTAAGGATGCCATCCAAAGCCCATTTTCCAGAACTTCCTGCTTTATTAAGGTAGTTTGTTAAAAACTAATCTGAAGCAAATAGCTATATCATATTCATTCTAGTCCAGTTGAAAGATTTATAAGACATGTCGGTTTTTCTTTAATGTTTTAATCGAAATATTTAAAACAAATTGTGATAATCTTCAACTCCACTACTTAAAATATAAAAACTACTTTACGTATAACGGACTTGTAGGAAGACTGAAAATAGAAAACAAGTAATAAACGCATTTGAGTGTAACATTAAGGTCCGCCAAACATCGCCATGTGACTTGGCAATGCATGACTAAAGTAAATTAATTTGTCATGAGAGAGATAGAAAGAGAGAGAGAGAGAGAGAGAGAGAGAGTGAGAGAGAGAGAGGGGGGAGAGAGAGAGGGAAAGTGAGAGAGAGGGAGGGGAGAGAGAGAGTGAGCGGGGAAGAGAGAGAGAGAGAGAGAGAGAGAAAGAGAGAGGGGAAGAGAGAAAGAGAGAGAGAGAGAGAGAGAGAGGAAA